AGATCCTGTAGACCCTGTATTAAATTAAAAAAAAAAAAAAAAAATCTGAGAACTAAATTGTACTCTCTGTCCTATGCTGACAAAATCAGAGAAAGGCTCATCCCAACACTGGAGATTTACATTCCTCACTGTGGGCACCCCTGAGAAGCAGCAGCTTGGAGTGCACGTAAGAGCCATGCCACGCTGGCATGGAGGGGGCTATCAGTCTCCAGTGAGGGTCTGCAGGTCGCAGCTGTTTCTGACAGAGCTCAGTCTCAGAGCCAAAGCGACAGCTGCTTTCCTTTTCCTCGATAGGACTGCTGGACAAAGGTACAAAGAAGAAATTGTACCCCTCAACTAGCCCTAGGGATAAAATTCCTAAGTCCAGAAGCTTAGGGCCCGGGGAGATGGCTCAGTGGAATAAGCACTTCCCTGGCAAGCGCAAGGGTCTGAGTTCAATCCGTGGTTCCGCAAAAAAAAAAAAAAAAAGAATGTTGAAAATGTGCCAACACCAATGCTGCTCTTAGTTCATGCCAGCTTCCGAATGTGTCATATCACGTTACACCAGCTGCTGAGTGCTGTGCACAAGGCCGGGAGGCTATGAAATGTGGGGAATGAGACAGAAATGACGTCCGCACAGGCTCCTGGCAAGGCCAAGGGCGAAGAGGAACAAAAAAGAAAGTTCTGGAACTGGAGCTCCTGGAGTGTGAGGAAGTGAAAGCTATAAGTAAGGACATATTCCTGCTGCCAGAGAATCTCACTGTCCCCAAAGAAGTTCTTGCTCCAGTTGCAGCTGGATTTTTCTCCCGTGACCCTAGTACCCCTTGGTCTGGAGATCTGGTAGGCACTGGCTGTTGTCTTTGCTGCCTCCTTCAGACTCTCACACCCTCAGATTATATCACCCATTAGTCTTTTCCTAGTCCTGACTCATTTCTTAAAGATTCTAGTTCCTAATCGAGTATCTCCAATGTTTAATGTCAATCTGTTACTTTAATTCCCTGTGATCTTTTTTCCTTGTCTTTTTGAGACAGGGTTTCACTTTGCAGTTCAGGCTGGCCTTGAATTGACTATGTACCCTAGGCTGGCCTCAAACTCATGGAAATTCTCCTGTCTCAGCCTCCGCAGTACTAGGTTTATAGGCATGCACCACCACACTCTTGATCTCTACGTCCCACTGGCTGTATGTATCTGATATGCAATTTAAACATGTGTCCTGTGCTGCATTCTGTATCCTCCTGCACCTGAGCCCACACTGCCCGCTTTTCCACAGCTCAATGTCCATTCTCTCACCCTACCACTGAGACTGGAAAGCTTGCTGTGGGCCTTGACTGACCTCTCTGATGCCAGGCCTGACCCACAAGGAAATGCTATTGGTATTTCTTTTCTTTCTTTTTTTTTTTTTTTT